CCTACACGCTGTCCTTAGTAACGATGCTGATGCTGTATTTCCAGACGACTTTCTGACCTGGCACATTTACAGCCAGTTTCTTTCACTCCACGTCTCCTCCTCACCTACTTCACTTTAACCCTTTTGAACATCTTTCTTGCTCTCTGCTTCTAGTGCTCTTTAAAAAATATTTATTTATTTTTATGTGCATGAGTGTTTTGCCTGCATGTATGTATGTGCACCCATGCTGTACAGTGCCTGCAGAGGTCAGAAGGTCCCTCGGAATTGGAATTACTCTTGGTTGTGAGCCATCATGTGGGTGCTAGGGACTGAACCTGGGTTCTCTGTAAGAGCAGCCAGTGCCCTTAACTGCTGAGCCGTCTGCCCAGCTTCCGTGCCCTCCTTTTGTCATTGTTGGCAACATGGCTCTCCTTTCGACTCTTTGTTTTCAAGTCTCATGTTTGCTTGTGAGTTCAATGCTTGGCATTAGAACAAAATTAATTAGATGTGAAAGTTGTACTAAAGGGGACTGTGGCAACATAATTTGTTACCTGTGAGACTCTGGTGAGACCTGCCTTACCATGTCTGTTTTATGGTTTCCAACAGAGTGGCCCTTAGATCTCTTTAAACTGCATCCCTTTGCTAAGGCATGTGATGTGCATTCTTCACATGCCTAAATTCTGTCAGATCACACTTTTACTCTCTAGAACACTGATGCTTTGTGCCTCATAGTATTTGATTCTGCAAAAATGACAGAAGATTGATGGGAACAGAGTTGATCCTGGCACAGTTTATAGATTTTTATTGCTCTGTTTATTTTGTTTTATTTTTTAAGAGAGGGTCTCACTGTGTAACCCTGGCTGGCCTGTAACTTGCTATGGTAGTCAAAGCTGGCCTCAAAATCAGAGGTCAACCTGCCTTAGCCTCCTAAGTACTGTGTGAAGGTATGTGCCACCATGATCGGCCAAAATGTAAGTCATTCTTAATGTCACTGTCTCTACACTCTCCCCTGCAGCAGGTGTTACCTTAATTTTATGAAGACAGTGTTTTTGGTTTTTTTTTACACAATTTTAAAGTTGTTTGAGAATTTTGTTCTTGAGTGCTATATTTACATCACTGATACTTCTTCTCTTCCTCCAACTCCTCCTGTTCCCCACCCCATTTCAATTCCCTGGCTTCTTAATTGTTATTATTGCATATTTATACACATGTGTATATGTAAACAAACTACAGAGTCCATTTAGTGTTTCTCTCATGTATATGTGTTTATGGCTGACCACTGGGATTGGATAGCCTATCATGGAGCTTGTCCCCGGGAAAAACTGACACCCCCTCCCTACCCCCCACCCCTGGTTGCCTGTAGCTCTTCTAGAGGTTGGACCTTTTGATATTCTCCTCATCCATGTTGGCAGGCCAGCTGGTGTTGTCATAATGCCGGTCTTGTTTAAGAAACCAGATTGTTGAGATTTCCTGTGCAGCCTCCTGTCATATCTAGAAGACACTATCTAACTTCACTTGTCCTGGTCCTCTGGCTCTTAAGTCTTCCCACTCCCTCTTCCGTGACGTTTCCTGAGCCTTAGACACAGTAGTTGCTTTTAGATGTATCCGTTGGGTCAGCTCTTCTCTGGTTTGACCAGTTGCTGATTGCTGTAATAGTCTCCATTTGCTGCATGAAGAAGCTTCTTTGATGAGGGGTGTTACACTCACCTGGCTGGTTTGGTGTGGGCGCTCCAGAGACCACCTGAGATGCGCCTGGGTGCTGTATTGTTGCATGACTGGATAGTAACTGTACTATTGAATGGTTTTCTTCTGTGATTGTCTTCATTTCATTTTGCCTGTTCTAACAGCACGTTCCCCTCCCCTCTAACTTTGGTACCATAGTGAAAGTGAGAGAAACATTTCTCCAAAATAATCTAAGACCTGTTCATTACTTATTTCCTTCCTTTAAGACATTAATAACTGCAGTGTGTTGCTTTAACTTATGGAATGGGTTTTTTATTTAGATCTTTACAAGTTTGCAGGGTCCTTGTTCATATTGTCTACTGCATTATTATTTGGAATGCTTAAGCTCTTTGGTGCCAAAGATTATATAGTGGATTATGATGGTGTTATTGGTTTCTGTGAGTGTTTGTGGTGTGCTTAAGTGTATATGCTCCAAGGGGTACATGCAGAAGCCAAAAGAGGATGTTGGGTGTCCTGCTCTAGTCTCTTGAGGTAGAGCCCTGCACTGCAGGCCCCTATAATCCTATTGTCTCTCTCCCTGCTACTGCACTGGGCTTGGAGGCATACATGTGGCTATGTCTGACTCCTTACGTGGGTGTTTAGGGATTTGAACTCAAGTACCCATACTTACACAGCAAGTAATTTTGCCCACTAAGTGATCTCCCCAGCCCCTATGATGATCTTTTAAATTACTTAACACATGACAAAGATTTGGAAGGTGTATATTTTTTTCTCCATGAGTGGTTAGACTATCCAAATCCACAGACTTAGGTAACTAATGTTTCTAAATGAAAACACAAATATTGGTCAGCGTGCCAAAACAACAACAGAAACAGAATTCCCACAGCTCTGTGGCTAAGGCCATTTTCTGATCTAAAAAATACTTAATTTCTCTTTACTTTTTCAGATAAGCATAATATAGTAGCAGATAAGGTGAAGGTATAAATTTCATGAGATTTAAGATCAATAGCACTTCAAAGATAGATCGTTAAGTACCAACCACAGTTTAAGTGGGCACTGATGTGGACAACGGATGATAGAGGTACTCTTCCCTACATGTTTTGTCTGCCACACAAAGTAGTGCTTTTTAACTGTGTATCCTACCTTCTCCCATCCCCCAA